TAGTAAGCATTTAAAGATAGCACTTCTTGTAATATCTTGTTACATAATTCATGGAAAATTGGTAGCTTTAACATTACAGTAAGTCATGCCACTTTTTGCTTCTAAGTATTACACAGTTTTATTTATAATTAATATTTTTAAATATTATTGATTTTTTTACTGAAACATTCTGATATTACAGCTGTTTAAGAAAACAACTAATCTTTCTCCATTATTTTATGTCTAATCACCTAGCCAAACTCTGATAATGAACCTTAATAATTTTTAAATTAATTTCTTGGATTTCTAAGTAGATATATATTCTGCATTTTTAAAGCACCATGTTTTATAACATTAATTAGAACCTAACAGTTTGTAAAACAGTAGTTTTAATGAGCTTTCTTGTCTAGTTCATGACTTTTATTAGTAAAGATTCTGACATTTCTCCATTAAGTGTGATGCTGTCCTATAGAATCTGGTATAAAGGGACTCTAGTTTCCTTCTATTCTTATGAAAAGTAAGATTTTTATTAGAGTTGAGATTTGAATTTTAAAATACATGAATTATTCCTTTCTTAAAGCTTTGATAGAATTTATTCTTAAATCTACTCAGGCTTCATGCCTTTTAAAAGAGTGAATCCTGAATTCTGATCTGTTTCCATTTTATGTCTTTCTCCTACACTTTGATAATTGGTGTTTTCCTAGAAAAATCATCTATTGTCTAGATTTTAAAATAGTGTCATTGTATTTTACTGTTCATCTTCTAACATATTTTCTCATCTTGTTCCTAATGTTATTTATCTTCTCTTTTCTTATAGCTATGCTTTTAATTTTATTAGTTTTTTGAAATAGCTAGTCTTGGCTTATTGATTAAATCTATCATTTGTAGTTTTGATTTATTCCTGTTTTGCTTTTTATTTTCTTTGTATTTCTGGGTTGCTTATTACCTTGTAATTTTTGGACTTTGATGATATCTAGCAGTTTTTTCATACCTTCCTTCTCTCAGTTGTTTTGATGGTGGTGGTGGTGGAGGTGGTGTGTTTGATGCAGGGTACTCAAACCTTGTGCATGGCAGGCAAGTACCCCTTACCACTGAGCTACATCCCCAAGAGGCCTCTTTTGACCCCCCCCTTTTTTTTTTTTTTTTTTTTTTTTGCTAAAACAGGGATTGAACTCAGGCCCTTGCGCTTGCCAGGGAAGTGCTTATTCTACTGAGCCATCTCCCCAGCCCTCTTCCGCCCATTTTTAATGAGAGGATTCTTCAGCTTTATTTTCTTGTACATTGTATTTTCTTTCTCTACCTTCTTCACATTTAGTAATTCTTTTGAGTAATAGTGGTTCTGCTTGTGGAATTTGGTGAAGTTCATTCATGGTGGTCAATCATTTTCATAAATGATTGATGATTACTGGTTTTTTATATTTGTAATATGTGTCTTGTTTAAGTATATTAGTTCTCTTTCGCATATTAATCCCATTTATATAGCATCAAATCTAGCCCTGATTGAAGGATGTGTTCTTTTGTGATTTTTGTTTTTGGAGGAGCGGAACTAGCAGGTGACTTGCCTTCTAGTTCTGAGGTGTTTCCTTAGTAGAGTCTCAAGTATACTGGGAACACGTCTCTGATTTTCTGGCACTTGCCCAAATTCACAAGGCTCCCACTGCAAAAAACTGCTTATTTCATATATGAAACCTCTACATTCCCTAGAATTGTCTTGCGGTTATCCATATCCGAGTAATTATTATAGATTTATGTTATTAATATTTGATAGTTTTGTAGCTCTTCTCTTTTAAACTGTGAAGGTCTTGTCTGTGATGGGGGGGAAAATTGGTTTCTATTTTTTTAAAAAAAGTACAGGAGGGGAAATTCTTGTTAAAAAGAAAAACCTTAGACTCTGTTGTCCATAATTTTGATGAAGAGCTTTGCAGTATCTCTCTTGTAGTAAATGGGAATGAGGCCTATTTGTTATTACCCTTCGTTAAATTTTTTTTCACGTTTTTCTTTTTATGTACTTTTTATGTTAATATAATTAGAAGTATGTATTGCATCTTAATTAGAAATGCACTGAAGTGTACAAATTAGTTAAGAATGATTACAACTTCATGATATTCAAAATTTCTTTCCAGGACATAGGATATTGACAAATTTGTTAGTGTTTTAATTAAATTCCTTAAGGTCAGGAATTAGTAACAATTTATGACAATCTTCAAAGTAGTCAAGTGTTGGTATCTTTCATAGTCTCCATCACTTTTTTACCTAGTTTACTAAGCACTATAAAAATTATAATTAGACACTGGAAGTGTCAATATAAATATTTTTTAGAGATCTTCAGTACAACTGGAAAGTTGAAAATGAGATATTTGATAACTTTAAAGAATTAATGTTAGCTTTTAGATGTATTAAAAGTACTTTTGTTATATTAAGGTATCTGATTATATATATATCATACCTATACATACACACTCAAATAAGATACATGGGATTTGCTTCAAATTACATAAAGAGGAAGGTAGAATATATAGGAGCATGAAAAAAGGTTTCATTGCTAATGATTGCAGCTAATAATTGTTGGGTTCATTATACTAGTCTGTTTCCTTTTTTGTATGTTTGAAATTTCCCACAATAAAAGATTAAAAAATACAGAGAAATGTACAGTGTTAAAGCAAATAAAAATAACTACTCATAAGTAAGCTAAATACCTTATAGACATGAGGCAAAATTTTTTTGAAAATTGATTCTCTTGTTTCCTATCTATTTAAAGAGAAACTTGATTCAAGCACATTTTACATCTGTTCACCTGAACATACTAAGTATGAGTATGCCACAGATTCGCCATCAGAGCTTTGATGTGGGTTTTTTGTTGTTGTTGTTGTTCTTTGGTCTGTTAATGTGGTAGTCTTACTGATTAAACCTTTCCTTTTGTTTAACCACTTTTACATTCCATGGATAAATTCTACTTGAAATTTGTGTTCAACCCTGTTTATATGTTGCAGGATTCATTTTACTAGTGTTCTCTTGTAATTTTTTGCATCCGTATTTGTAAGGGATGTTAGTTGTAATTTTATTGTGATGTCTTTGGTTTAGTACAAAAGTAGTAAATTTTGTAGATTGAGTTGGGAGGGATTCTCTTCTATGCACTTTTTTATTTTGGAAAAGTTTGTGAAATAGTTGGATTTAATTATCCTTAAGATTAAAAAATCTAATAATTAGAATAATTGGTAGAATCTACCTGTGAATTCAGGTTATGGGATCATGGGAAATTTTTTGATTACTAACTAAATCCTTTTTATTTTTTGTAAGTCTATTTAGGTATTTTATTTTTTCTCAAGTAGTCTTTTCAAATTTGAAAAATAAAGCAAATACAAGTATGTATAGTAGGTAGTCTTATGTGATGTTTCAAATATTGTTAATATCTTTTTACCTGCATTATTTCATAATCTGCATAATGGCTTGAAGTTTAGATTTTGCTTTTTTAATGTTGTTTTATCTCAGCAGCAATGCAGCAAGTCTTGGAAAACCTTACAGAGCTGCCCTCATCTACAGGAGCAGAAGAAATAGACCTAATCTTCCTCAAGGGAATTATGGAAAATCCTATTGTGAAATCACTTGCTAAGGTATATTGACTTGTCACTAAAATCACTGAATTATTTTGAAAATGTGTTTTTACAGAAGTAAAACAATATTGCTGTTTTAGAACGTAATCGGTATACCTAGCAATAATTAACAAACAATAGCAAATAGTTAACACATCACATAACAAAAATTTAATACAGAATATGTAAAAATGAGGCCAGTGTTACTTTTTGTGTTCTGTCTTTAAATACAGATTGATAGGATTCTTAGTTTTGGTCTAGTAATGTTAAGGTTTAGAGGAATGATAGTAACACAATTCTGTTATAATGGGGCCTGTGAAAAAGAACCTGGTCTTATCTCTGTTTTCAACAGCAAGTTATTGATTTTCTTATTTTAAATTATAGTCTGTACCATTTTTCACTTAAGTTCTTAATTTATATACTACTCCTTTGAAATTTTGTTTATTCTTGCATAACTCTGATATTTTAAGTCTGCTTCCATAGTCAACTCTTGACCAATCTCCTTAACTAATTTATAAATATACTTTTCCAAGCATTATTTGGTCCAATATTATTTCATTCATACTTTTCCTCATCTGAATTTTATAACTATCATGGATGCTTAGTACATTACTTACTTCATAGTCCTGCTATCCCATGCTGTAGACATGTCCCAAATGATTCTTATTTCTAAGACCCCAAGCCACATGGTCTCTTCCCTTTCCTTCATGCAGTGATTTTGTCATTTGTTATGCTTTAGCATTGCTAGAATATTGATTTGACCCTCTTTTGTGGTTTTTCAATTGTTTTTTTTTTGTTTTTTTTTTTTTTGTCGGTCTTTTACCTTTTCTTCCAAGACTTCTCAAAAATTATACCTTTTACAAAGTTTCCATTAGTGAGAATGAGATACTGATTATCCCTATATTTAATGGCTTACTCTGGGTTTGTATTGGTACTTTAAAAACAGTTTTCATTCGGGCTGGGGAGGTGGCTTAGTGGAATAAGCGCTTCCCTGGCAAGCACAAGGGCTGGAGTTCAATCCCCGGTTAAACAAAAAAAAAAAAAAAAAAAAAAAAAAAACAGTTTTCATGCTTTTATTGATGTCCTAATGTTGATTATTAGTTTTTATGGTCAATAAGTTACATCCCTGCTCCTTTGTATTTAGTTTGTGGCTTTTGATCTATAGATTTAGAAACTATAATAATGTTTGTAAGGTATTTCACAACATGCTTATCACTTATGAAAGTTTGTATACTGTTTTATCATTTTAATAACTTTATGAATTTAAAACTAAAATTTAAAGTAAATAAATGATTGGCCTAAGGTCACTTTCCAAGTAAATGACAGAGAACAGGGTTAGGATAGGTATTCTGTCTAAAAGTATGCTTATTTTATTATTACAACATGGGGTATTTGAGTATATGTGTGTTCATTATTAACAACTTCTATGAATCAAGTCTTATCTTGTGCCACAGATTATAGTCTTTCAGAGAATCATCTGTTTTCATGATTAGTAGTTGAAATGTTTGAATAACTTTTTGATCAAATACAGTAGAATCATAAGCTTGTTAATTAAAGATGAAATAAAACAGAACCGCACAATAATCTTCAACATTCATGCAACATTTCAATAACACAAAAGCATTAGTAGTTAAGTAGTTAAGAAATCATAGGAATAAAGAAGGACCCTGTCAATAATTCCATATTAAACATTTAAGGAAGAAATAATACTAATTTTATATGATTTCTTCAAGAAAAAGAAGGGTCATTTTCTGTGTTGTCTTATGAAGCTAGTGTTACCCTAGCTGCCAAAACTAAAGACCTTTCAAGAAAACAAAGCTACAGAACATTGTCCCTGATGAACATATATTTTAAGGTCAAGAAAATATTAGCAAATCAAATGTACCATCATACAAAGAAGATAATACCTCATTATCCAAGTGTGTTTTGTTTGAAAAAAAAGTAAGATTGTTATACTAGTTCAAAACTAACCAATATATATATTGTTACCATTTTAATAGACATGATTTTAAAAACCATTTGCTCTTGTTAATGCTTTCAGGAAAAGAATTTTGTGGGTTGGGGAGATGGCTCAGTAGGATAAGTGCTTCCCTGGCAAGTGCAAGGGCCTGAGTTCAATCCCTGGCTCCGCAAAAAAAATAAATAAATAAAATAAAATAAAATTTGTAAAACTGAATGTCTGTTCCTGATTTTTAAAGAGAAAAACTCAGCAAACTAGGAATAAAGGAAAACTCCATCAACCTGATAAATGCTATCTATTTTTTTTTTTTGAGACATCAGTTATTTTTATTTTAAAGAAAGAAAAAAAAATAGAAACAGTGGTATAAAATCTCAAAACAAGATTTTAGGAGAGTAACAATGGTTAGTACATTGTGTGTTGTTATTGCCAAAGTAGTTTCTCATATTACAAGACATAGGCAAGAAATAATA